AAGCAAACAATCATGAAAAGAGTGGCTCACCCTTGCGGGTTTGAGGAGACTCTACGTGGTGGCTATGATGTTCGTCTTCTTCTTGCTTTTGGTTTCGCTGATTCTCGTGACCCTCTTCCTCTTATGGTTTTTTCTCTTCCTCTGATGATGAGGATCTGGGTTTTTCTTTGAACTCCGATGATGATTCACTGAGGAGGTTCTTGTTCTTGTTGAGGATGAGTCCTCGCACGACTGATGATGATGGCGCCTTAAAACTCTTTCTGATCTTTTGATGATGATCCCCCCTGTTCTTCCCTCCTTTCTTTTATTTGAAGAACTGATGACGTTTTATATTAGTTCTTGATGGGCCTGGGCAATGCATTTGTTGCAAAGTTGTTGCCGGTTCTTACGATTTTTCAGGAGCTTTTGCCGTTAGGTTGCGATATTGGTGGCCTGAAATTTTGCGATTTCTTGAATGATTGTTGGCTGTTGTTAGAACTTGTTATGTTGATGATGATTTGGTTGTTGTTGAGGAAATTTGTTGCGTTTCTCATGGTTTTGCGGCTGTATTGTTGGATTATTTTGAGGAAATCTTGTTGCTTACTGTTGCTGCGGAAACGTTGTTGGATGGGTGGCTTGATCCATTGGGTTCAGAAATTTCTAGGAAATGTTGTTCATGGCTTGTTTGGCCAAAACCCATTTTCCAAAAGCACTTTTTCAAAATCACTTTTTTTTCTTCCGAAAATCACTTTTTCTTTCTCCGGGCTTGAATTAGAATAGACATCTGCCTGACTTGTGCCAAGGTCGGAAATGGAGTCGGGAGCTGGCGGCGGAATATTCTGTTACCCTCCAGACGTACCCGATGATGATAATTAACTGAGGGTATCGGGACCGAAAAACCAACTTTAATTAATTCTATTATTTTCAACTGTTGTTGACTTGTTTTGCAGGTCCGAGAAAATTCGAAAGTCGAGGAGTCGGATACGAAGACCACCTTAGAACCATTAGGAACTTAGTACTTAGGAAATTATTTTGTAATTTCTTTTGTAAAAATATAATTTAATAAATAAATTCGATTCTTCAATTACTTCTTGTATGTTGTAGAAAACATAGACTTTAAATAAATAAATCCCACTTTCAACGAACCGACTTTATTTCTCAATTTAACTTCTCCAATTAAAATCGCTCGATTAAACTCAATCAACTGAATTCATTTAATTCATCTGCTTAAATCCATAAATTCAAATGATTCAATGAGAGTCCATCTGATATATTCCAACTGATATGTTCTAACTTCCTTTGTACCCAGACCACACTGTCAGACATATTTGGGACGGAGAGATAACATTAGTCATATTGCTTCTAAATTGTTGACATTGATTATTTCTAACATTGATTCTTGCTGACATTGATTATTTTTGGAAATTCGCAGGTGCGTGATCCCCGAAAGTTTCTAAACCATGGGCGAAAGACTTTAGCATTGCATCAGCCTGAAGCGGAGTGGTTTTAGTCAGTTCTCGCCGCTTGTGGGTTGAGTGATCTATGCTTGACCGGTTACACTTTGGTCAACCACGAGATGATTGGAGCATGTCGATTACACTGTGGAGCGATGGCACTCTGAGACCTCTTCCTTTCATCTCTCACACGGTGAGATGTCAATTACACTGGACGATGTCTCGTGTTTGTTGCATCTATTGATCAGAGGGAGATTTCTCTATCATGGTAGGATGACCAAAGACGAGGCGGTCGATATGATGGTGGAACATCTGGGGGATGATCTAATGAAGGCGCTGAAGGAGGTGGAAAGAACTATGGGTGCTCATGTTAGGTTTTCATTCTTGAAGGACAAATTTTATGAGGCGCTCGTTGCTGCTGTGCAGGCTGATGGTGATGCCCAGGAGGTGGAGATCCACATGAGTCATGCTTTGAGGTGTTATTTTCTATTTTTAGTTGACACTATATTTTTTATGGACATGAGTGTCACCTACACTAACGTTGCATACCTCCGGTACTTCTTAGATCTCACACGGATCCATGAGTACAACTGGGGGTAGCTTACTTGGCCTATCTATATTCAAAGCTGAGAGATGGATGTCGGTGGACGACGAGGCAGACCACAGGCAGCACGACCATACTGGTGGTAATAATTTTTTATCCTTGATTGTTTTTTATCTTTTTCATTTCATATTTGCGATAATTCTTGATCCCTAAATGGTTTTTTATTTTTATTTCAGGCTTGGATCCTTCAGCACTTCCCGTGCATTGCTGGCTGGTCGTGTTGGGATGAGTACACTGAGGAGATGCCCAGTTCCTGTGCTTTTATACCGCTGAGAGGAAACCAGGCGGTCAAGCCTTTCAGAGTCTATCTTGACCGCTTGTTTGCTGAGGACATCGACTTCAACTGCTATGTAGATCACCGTCAGACGTGACCATTTGACGATATATCGGTATACTCCGGATGACTGACCTACTCGTCGACGGTCATTGCTCTTCATCTACCCGAGTGCTTCATGCGGTAGTTTGGGTAGACCCAAACCATCTCTAGACACCCTGTTGTCTCTCCACCGCTGGCCTTGACTCGTATACAAATAGAAAAGATGTTTGCTGATCATTAGAGTCATCTGGTAACGGATGAGGCTCGGGCTACCATAGCGCCAAATGATTTAAGCTACGTCAACGGATACATCAGGTGGTTCTTCAGGGTCTCACATTCGTACATGGTGCTGACTGCTCCAAGAGATCCGCCGAGACCTATTCATTAAGAGATTCTAAAGGAGTAGTAGTCTCAGATGGATTATACTAAGGATGTCTTGCCTCGTTGTCATCACATAGTGGAAATGGCGCAGACAGGCATCGCCAAGGTTATCTTCCCTGAGGGGTCTGCTGTCAGACGAGCACTGGATGACATTATTGCGGAGGCACATGAGGCACTTTTGTACCGCAAACATCGCGCGATGATAGGAGGATCAATGGCCGAGGAGGCAGACTAGGCAAAAGAGGCACAAGAGGAAGATGATAGGTTATCAGGCACACTCAATAGTTGTCTGCATTTATTTTGTTTCAGTACTGTAGTTTGTACGTTTTTTCTGACATTGTTATTACATTTTGGATTTAGGTGACGTATGAAATCCTATTACTATATTGTTATGTTATTTTGGTGTGTCTGTTATTTTATAATTCATTTGCGAATAAATACACAATGCGTTTAAAAAAATTATTTTGAAACACTTCAGAGATGTATCCCCGAAAAATTTCCGTAAATGCATCTCCGAACAAATTCAAATGAAAATGAGCTATGGTTGATATGTTGTTACCGTCTAAGGTTTAAATTACTCCAAATATATATCTCCGGAATATTATTAAGCCATGAGGCGCGTCTGGAGATATATCTTTGAAATCTAGAGTTATTTGTGGAAAACCACATAGTGGGAAAGAAACCCATGGGGTAGGATAAAAAATTCTCAAATATTTTTTTAATTCTGTATCTTTAGGACGTGGTTTATTTTGGTCTCTCAATTTTAAAAACAATTATTTAGATCCTTCAACTTTTTAAAATATGTCACATTAGTCATTTCCGACAAAATTTCATTAATGATGTCAATTTTTTTACTTATGTAACATTTAATTTTTTTAAGAGACTTAGTAGCATAAAAAAACGGATGCTACTTTTTTTTTTGAGTTTTAATTTGATTCTTTATCTTCATCTCTAAAACTAAAAAAAAATCAAAATCCACAATTTATCAAATCCACCCATTACTTCGATTCAACATCCATAAACAATTAATTTATCAAAGTTATTTCAATTTCTTAAAAAAAAAAAAATTGTATTACAAAACCAATAAATTTGAAATCTCTTTCTTCTAACAAATTTGGGATCTCTTCCCAACAAATGACACTTATAATTGAGCTCATTTCAATAAATTAATTTATTACCTAAAATCTAATTATTCTTATCAATTAAATGGATCGGGTATTAATTCTAGCAACAAATTGGCTGCTGCAGACGAACTATTATGCGATCCTGCCAAATTGTAACAATAGAATAATATTGAAAAATACATAGCTACTATATCACTTGAGCCCCAATGCAAGGATGGGAACTATTTAACAAGGAAAGCAAACAAGAGTAGAAAACAATGTCAAATATCCAGAAGTTTCATCATCTTAAAATTTCACAAGTCTCAATTATTGATTAAAAAAGAGTTTAAAGCTAAAGCACTAAAAGTGCAAGTCTAATTCCACAAACAACAAGAATGGATAATGCTGACTTTTCGACTTTGGAGTTCAACTTCCAAATCTGCTACTTTTCTTTGGACGGTGGTTAGTTCTCTCAAAACCTTAATCAAGTCCTCACCCTTTTCACCAGTTGCCGGAGATAAATTATGCACTCCTTCCTAGAAAAATAAAGAAATTGCTGTTAACAAACTTAAATTCGGATATAATTGACGCGAGTCGATGATACAAGAGAGATTGGTACCTGAGATAACGTGTTTGTATATTTCAATATATGTTGAGTATCAAGTACCAACCATTTTATTTCTGCATGGCCTTATCTGTTTGTAAGTGCTTCCATTAAGATGTACATACACCTTACTCGAAATTTACATAATCACTTAGTTCACAGGTACAATATTGGTATTTTTACAATATATACTACAATAATAACATATCTTTTACAGTGGTAGACAATAAACTACTATTCACAATGATTTTCACTCAAAAGTATTTACCATACTAATCACAAAGACATATTATTCGGTGTCTGACACGTGTCAATTTTCAATATTAACATAATACCAATGCGTGCTAGATTCAATCACTTCCACCTTTTCAAATTATAATTGATGTCTGCGTGTCTAACGTCATGTCTCCGCCTGATTTCATAGTAAACTTTGATATAATGGCATCATATATAACATGACCAAGCATTCAATACAGTCATCTTTGTTGTGATACTAAGCTGGCAAAAAGCTTTGAACTTGAAAAGAGATGTATGTATGCACAATGAGTTGAAGTTCTTTCTACAGAGGAATCCATCCCTGTTGAAAAATTGGGGTGAGAGAAATGTCATCAAGTCTATACATTCTTCTTAATAAAATGAATAAAAAGAGGTTAGATGAGTTGGTTGTGCTTAATTACCTTGATTAGTCCCTTCTCAGTACCACAAAAAATAATGTCATTTGCAGTATAGATGCTTGTTATCTTGCTCCCTGCTGATATCCTCCCCAATTTTTTCGGTACTCCTCTCAACCATATCTGTTCGAGAAATTGGTTTCAAGTTAAGCAGTTGATTTTCCTTTGTTTTGGTTACTTTTTTCATCAGCAAGAGACAAATTACTTTTCGAAGAGGAAACATGTCGCATTAGCTTTTTTACTTTTACCTGAATGCTGCTTGTTGATGAGCTAGAGATTAGGTATAAGAAGTCTTCTACCACTTCCATAGCTACCACATTATCTCCTTTCTCAGTAAGGATTGAAATCTCGGGTTTCCCACTTTTTTTCCATTCCTATATAATCCATCCATGTAAGGACAAAGAAAAGCTTTTTTTAACCTCAAAGTTTTAGTTTCTCACCTTGATCGTTGTTCCTTCAACATGCTTACTTGCACTATAGAGCCAATCTCTATATGTTACAATTGAATTGATTGGCTTACTTTGCTTTCTCCAACTTCTTGTTGGTGGTTTGATTTCTAGTTCCCTGTTGTGTGTTGTGTTATACTCCTAAAATAAAGCATCATATCATGCTTGAATTTCGTTGGTGCCATCGTTTATGTCAAACAACACAACAAAACTAACCTGTATGCTTGAATCCGTGCAGCCAGTATATAACTTTCCCTGTGCCACTGCCATGCACTTCCCATGCTTACCTTTGAAAATATCTCTTATCTCTCTTGATTTGTTAACAACCTACAAATAGGAAAGAAGAATTTGATTATATGTCATAATTGTCCCAAGTTTTTACTATCCAAGGCATGAAGTTGGCAAATCCATGGTTAACTTTGTTTTTCTTAATCTAAGATAGTATCAGAGTCTATCCCTATCTAAGATCCGTTGCGTTATTTTCTATCAGGTCACTAGGGCCATACTCCAAATGTCCAGTTATAGACGTTGAAGTAGTGGACAGTCCTCACCTTACAGACCGATATTGTAGGTTTGTGTTAAGCCCAATTTAAATTCTAATATGACATAGTTTGATCATAGAGATTCATGTGCTATATGAGTGATTTTGCTTTGAACTTTCAGTTACTTCATGTTATAAATCGTAGTAAATTTGAAGCATCACCTTTATTCCTTGTCTTTCAGTAATTGAGAAAATTGTTTCACCATGGGAGCGTAAATGATGAATTGGTTCCTTCATGACTATTACTTCTAGACATTCAAGATTTCTTTGGATCATTTTCCACACCTATTTTTGTGCATGTTATTATAAGATAATTAGTTCATTCACTTTTACTGTTAGAAATCTCAGTAGAGAATAGAAAGTTGTAACCATAGAAGAAGTTTGAACCTTACCCTTATGGTTTTATCCGTGGATCCACTTAAAAGACCGTCTAACGGTTCATAAATTGAAAAGCATGTCACAGATTTCTTGTGTTCTTTAATGTCCCATACAAGACTAGCTGAATGCCCCCTAATATCCCATACCTTTAAAACACACCAACACACAGATTTTTGTTAGAATAACAATCCTGATTCAAAAAATGTAAATAGATGCGCAAAATGAAAACAGAGAACACAAGATTTGACCACGGAGTTTAGGCAATTGTGTCTACGTCTGGAGTTTCTTGTATTGAATTAAATCAGACATGTTCTTACCTTAATTGATCCATCTGAATATCCACTGAATAGGAGTCCCTTGTAGTATATGAGGGAGCAAACTGATATGCTAAAGTTGCGACCAACCTCAAGGATTTGTGTGTGAACACAAGAAATACGCTGCTCTTACCACCATGATGATTAAGGTGATGCAACAAAATAAATCAGTTAGTGCAATTTATTTATACTAAAACCGCAACGCCTCAAAGACATGCGTGAACATGAATCATACTAATTGTGAGAAATTTATAAAAGTTACTTAATTTGGAGATTATTTTTCAAGTGTTAGAACTCGGTACATAAATGAGTACTTACTGATGTGTTTGGAAGCAAGAAATCAGCTACCCTATGTAATTCCTCGGCCATCCAAGTTATGTTTGAAAGCCTTCTTAATGACTCTTTTACTCCTTCTGAGAAATGCATTAGTTTTTGCTTTCCTACATGAAAAAGGTTATCTTAATTAGTAGAGTACATTGATTATTCTTGGCCATGTTTTGTGAAGTTTTCATCATTTTCTTAAATACCTTTCCCAGAGGCATAATTAAACATGCACATACATGCCAAAAGTCTTTCATCCAATTCCATCCCAGGATGCAGAAATTGCTCAACTCTTCTTAGTATAATCTCAGATGTAGAATTACTGAGGCTGTCTGGATTTTTTGATATTTGACATCCAAGCCAGGAAAGAGTTACAAGGCAGTCTCTAGAAACTTTTTTCATTTTGCTTCTTAGTCCCTTCTCTAAAGTATAGAAAATGGAATCTCCAACACTTATGATACATTTGGCGATTCTGCTGCACCAAACATCTATGCTTGTATCCTGCATGTTATGAATTTTTTTTGTCTCCTTAGTTGTGTTTGCACAACACCGCTCATCTATGAAGTCCGGATACATAGTATGATACAGATACAATATGACATGGATACAGAGATACGGGAAGAAAGAAAAACGCTCATGACCATAAAATGTTGGTATAGTTACATATATTTCCCTCACCTTTATAAGAATATATTAGTTCTACTATATTGAATGTGTCACAAAAAGCATACAATTTTGTGTCTTTTAGTTAGTAAGACATATTGCCAGTATATCATATTTGAAAGACAGTTGGTAAGATGTATTTGAGAAATATAGATAAAAATAATTTCAAAAAGAATTAAAAAGATTATTGGATACTTTACGAGTACATATCGCAAAATATCGAACCGTATCGATATCAGATATGTGTCAGACATTGATACTTTTCAATTTTCAAAGCATCTAGCCTTCATAGTTTCTCATGCTTATATTTGTTGACATATAGTCCTATTTGGAAGCTTACTTGTAGACTATGATCCAACCAGTTGAAATTTCTTATCATATTTTGGTGATATGGAGAGTTCAAGCCTGTTTTTCTTAGAAACCATGCAGCTGTATATGATTCTCCTGTCCAAGCATATGTACCAGCAAGATTTGATAGAATGGAAGCAGATAATATCTGTTCTGAGCTTTCTTCAGATGTCAATGCCCTTAGAAGAATCCGCACAGCTTCTTCTCTGAACAAGCTTTTATCAGTTGAGTTCTGCACGAACATTGTTCTTTTCTTAGCAATTAAAGGGTCTTCAAACTTCACATATTATACACGAACACGAGTATTATATTTTTATGAATTTAAAACATTACCAACGCGTCTAACTGAATCATTATGTTAGCAGCTAAAATCTGGTGACCAGGTTGTAATTGGTCTGCACAATGCATCAGTATCTGCATAATATCCATTCTGCTTTCTTTCTTTATCCGCTGCAGCAGATTAATAGCTGATGATCTGAAAAACGACAATAGAAAAACAAAAAACAAATCATTGTATCTACTTGTCAAATGCAGTTATGCTACAAATTCTACTCAAAGAATTGGTTACATAGTTATATACCTTGGTATGCATAGAATTTCATGAAAATACTCAAGTGCCATGCATTTGGTGCGAATATTTTCTGCATCTAGAAGGTGTAGAAAAGGAGCAAGAGGAGTAAACTTTGACACATACTTTCTACACTGTGAATCAAACTGCATGCATTTTATAAGAATGGTAGTCAAAGAGAAAAACTCTTCAAGATTATCATTTCTAGCAACTTCGAGAAGTCCACTGAGAAAATGAGGTGAACTAATTGCTTCCAAATGCATGTTATTTGTAGCATAGTCAAATGAAGTTAAAAGTTCTTCAATGATCATCAATGATGCTGCATGAGGTGTCATAAGAAGCGACTCTTCTTGCTTATCTTCTTGCTTATTACTCTTGTAACAACTTTGTGATGAAGTGCATACAATCTCTACAAATATGGGAAGAAGTTCCAGTGTTTTTATATCTATAGGAGATGGGTTTATCAAATAGATTAGTATTGCTGCTTCATAAACATTTTGTTTTAGAGCACTTGCTAAATCACATAACCTTAAACCCTTCTTCTTCACATCTTCTATAATTGACTTGTTCCTTGAAATTATTGTTGTAAGAATTGATACTGATGCTCTTAGTTCCTTTTCCTCTTTGGAAGTTGAGATTACTATCAGCAATTCATCCAAAATCACATCTTTTAAGGAGCCGTAATTAGTTCCTGACGAACCAATCAAACTCTCAAAAATCGATGCAGTGTTTACAATATATTCTTCACCGTATTTTCCTAATGATGTTTGCAGTTTCATTTTAGAACTTTCTTCGTGATTTTTCAGGCCGAGCCTAAGTCTGCTGCTTGCATGATCAAACAGATGGAATTCTAGTGGCTGCAATGCTTCTTCGATTAATAAATCCTCGACACGGCAATTTAAATCGATGCTTGTTTTTTCTATCCGTTTCGAGATTGATAAAGCAACATCTTCAATGGACCTGGTGAACATGCTAGAATCAAGCTTAATTATGTTTTTTGCATCCAACTTTTCTTGCATCACATCTTGAGGATCCATTGGGTGAATCTTCTCATACTGCAAAAACAATATTTAAGGGAAACAAAAGTGGTTATTATATACTGTAAAATTTTGCAAGTGTTCAAATAAAATGAATTAATTATGCTAGTAATGATAGAAATAATAAAAGCTCACAGTATTGCAAGTTTTCAATCTTTGTTCATGATGAACTGAAGTAGAAGATACACAGCTGGTATTTGATACATCCCTGTCCATGTCAGTAAATTAGTCTTCGACGATAAAATAATATAGAAAAAATCAACATCCTAGCTTAAACAAATCATATCTTATGTTTTCTTATCAGGATTTTATCATTAACAATTAGAAAACACTACTACGGATTATGACTGAAATCAAACTTTTTATCCATTCATGTTTGTTAGCATAAAATATATTAATCAACCTATTAACCAAATCTATGAAGAACTAACACATATACCACACCACACTGATACGTCGACGTGGAGCAAATGAAATAATTGAATGAATCAATAACACAGAGACACTAACACGTGGACACTAGTAATAATCTGGTAATGAATCAATAACCATATGTATCAGTATCGTGTTGGACACCGACACTAAGTAATAATTGAAGTTTTGATGCTAATTAGCATATTATGGAACTTCAGAATACACAAGGTAACTTTCATGGATGAATCTTACATATAATTTGCAGAATTACTGCTACAATAACTGCTCCACCATGGAATCTCTCCATAAAGCATAACCTGATAATACACCAAACACTCTTTATATCTCCTCGCCTTCTCCTTAACAACCACTTCATTAATCTCTTCCTCAGAATCCAAACAAGAGCCAAACTCCAAACTTCTACTCCCACACTTCTTAAAAAGACTTCCACAAAGCTCCGGCGCAAATTCATTCCAAACAACCCTCGGCGCCACCAAAACCGCTTGAAGAAAATGCACCGCAGCCTGCCACTCATCCCCCTGAAGCTTCCTAACAACCGAGAGATAAAAGTAAGAGCAACAAACCAAGTAACGATTCGGAATTGAAGCTGTGAAATCGTCTTCGTCAAGCATCGCCGGAACTTGAAGCATTTGCTCTGAGTTTTTTAGGTTAAGAGATCTTTCTTCTGAATGGTGTGATTGAATTGCAGTTTCAATGGCGTCAATGCCGTAGTAGAGATTGGATAGAACTGATTGGTGAGAGAATTCGAAGAATTGTTGGTTTTGAATTTTTATGTTTGTGATGCATTTTGATTTTAGAGATTTTCTAGTTTTTTCATCTTGGATTGTGTTGAGAATGTATCTGTTGATTGAAATGAGTACCCATATGTATTTGAGGTCTATCATCCTTTAGTTTTGGTTACCAGAAATGTTGTTTGTGGAGAACTTGGTGTACAAGATATAGTAAGTATTATATGAAGAAAGAGAAAGAGTTAAGTAGTATGTTATTTATCTTTATAAATATATTTATTCAACTTGTAAAATAATAATTTATTTATTTAAATAATTGATTAAGTGAATTTATAGTTGAAATTATAATTAATTCAACTATATGAATTAATTATATTTTTTAACAAAATAACTATATGCTCAACCGAATTAACTACACTAATTAGTTATTAGTTAAATAAAAAAAATGTTTGATGAATATTTTTGTATAACTAAGTAGTTAAATAATATCACAGGTCTAGAAAGTGTTGTGTGGAGTCCAAAACACAAAATTAGAGTGTGAGCCACATATTTTGATAGAGAAAATCTAGATCTACTATTATGCAAATGTATGATGGGAACTTTCATCTTCCTTTTCCAGTCCAAAGTAATGTCGGAAGTATAATTCCAGATAAAACATAAACACCATATAGTTTGAAATACATGTGTGGTTGTTTAAAAATGTAGGTTGAAAAAGAAACTTAGCTTTCATGTGACATACTAGTATACAATTCATTTCTATACGACACAATTAATAGAGGTTTTCAACATCATTCACCAGTTTCCTCCCGTGAATGTCTTAGCAAGATTCCAAATTTTGATGGCCCCTTTAATTTTCAATTGCTTTCTGACAAAAATAGTATACCATTATTGCCCTTATTTGAGAGGGCAAAATTGGAAAAGGGTGGATACTACTTTTGCATTATAGTGCTGAAATTCACGTGTACCTTTTCTTTCCTTATACGTTTCATCGCCAACCTTCCACCACAAAGCTATAAAATGTTCGTGCATAATTTGTTTATAAATGTGGTATCTATCTGTATAATTTGCTTGTGAGTTGTGACTAATTATTATTCATGTCATGTGCTGTGCAGAATATACAGAATGAAATTACGGGAAATAAATGAAATCTAGTACACACCATGAATCTTAAGTTTTTAACAAAAATATCACATTTCGGCACTGCTTCGGAGATTTGGATCCTCTTATGTGCATTATATTCTGCTATAATCTCAGTCATTCATTTGTATTTCTTTTCTCTTTAAAAAAATTTCTTTTTATGTATTTAGTTTACATGATTTTTCAACCATTGGATATGGAACATGAGGGATGACAGAACATGTGAATAGGAGAGGATCCATTTCCCTGCTTCGGCTGCAAAATGCGTGGCATGAGCACATGAGGCGTGTTTTGGATTTGCATGATGGAATTCTTGATTTTTACTATTAATCAAGATAAATGCGTTTTTTGGCACTATCTACGGTATGAAAGTTTTCGAGAGAAATTTAGAGAGACTAAGAGAGAGATATTTAGGATTCAATGTTATAAGAATTGAAAGATCTTTAGAAGGATCTTACGAGAATGAAAAACACTTCTAAATATTTTAGGTTTTCATGAAACATTTGGGAAGTCATCTTATAAACTCTTGTGCAAAGACTCTTAAATTATAGTGGATATGATACATGGGGTATCTCTCCTAAAATAGATCGATTTGATCGAATTAGGTAACAGATTACATGCGTTCTTGTTTCTTATTTTCTTCTTGCTATTGAGATTTGCCTAGAATAAATGGTAGATTAATTTTGCTTGAAAATATTTAGTGTAATTGTCATTGTTTTTTTGTCTCACACATCACATTTTTGGTATATTTGATCATTCTATTTCATAACACGTGGGATCTACCATGAAAAAAGAGTTATGTTTGCAAATGAGTATCATTAGTTCTATTTCGTCTAGGAGACAGATGGATGCAGTTAAAAAATTGATGATCTTGAACGCTGGCTCCGATCTCCTCTACACATTACAACAAATAACACGTTTTTATGACGAAACTTTCACTCAAACAATAGAAAATTGAGGTATAAAACTAAAACACGCTAATTTTTATTATTTTAAAAAAAACATAAATTTCCTCAATTTTTCATAAAACCGAGGTGAAAAAAATGTTGAGTACAAACTTTGATTCTCAACTATCGTAATTTATGATTCTATTAGTTTATAAATATAAACAAAATATTTTAACCCTTTGATTTTCTATTTAACCGAGGCATAGAATAATAAGATTTTACTATAAAAACATTCATTAAACATATTTTACCCTAATCCTTACTAATATGAAGTCGCCCTAAGCATCATTCTTTGAGATGAATTACAAGACAAAAGAAATCTTCAATGTTCTTCTATTTTGAAAAAAATATATTTTTCTACCCTTGCTATCCCATCTGAACATATTGGTGTTGATGTTGTCGTTATTATATTTTTTGGAATAACCCTTAGTTAAAAAAGATACTTTGTTGATAGATTTCAAGAGCAAAAAATCATTATTGCTTCAAGTTAATCAAATAATGGAGCTTAACCAACAATGAAGGGAGCTCAACCTTTGAAAAGTACTTAGTTGATAGATTGCAAATGCAGAAAATCATTCTTGTTTCAACTTAAACAAAGAATGAAGCTTAACCAACAAAGAAGGGAACTCAACCTTTGAAGAGTACTCAATTGATAGATTGCAAGTGTAGAAAATCATTCTTGTTTCAAAAAAATTGTTTTAATGGGTATGCAATAAAATTTGGATATCACCGAAGATTTGTTGTAAACAATGTTTTTTAATATTCTGTGTAAACAATGTATTTTCAAAAAATAAAAATAAAAGAATAGTTATCTCGATTTTCTTTAAAACTGATGTGATAATTAATATAAAACCTCAGTTTTGTAGTAAAACTGAGGTGGTTAGTAATCATATTTTACTATAAAAACACTCGTTAAACAGATTTTACCTTAATATTAGATTATATGTAGTCGCCCCAAAGAGATGAAATATTCATCACCGTTCATTTCTATCATGAGTTGCTACTACAGATCTCTAAGATGGATTGCAAGTGCAGAAAACAAAAATTCTCATTGGGAAACAGATCTCTAGCATCTTGCATGGAACCTGGACATGTAAAATAAAATTTCTCATTGGAAAATAGATTTTACAATGTATTTTTAATATAATGTGTAAACAATTTATTTTTAAAAAAATGCTTATTCACATCGATTTTCTTCTTGGCCGAGGGGACAGGTAATCATTTTTTTACTATATTCAACGCCCTTAATCAAATCTTTGTCGTGCATTTAATATTTATCAACGCTTATGAATCTGTCATTAGTGATCCACATGAAACCTAAGAGACATCCGTTATAAAAGCATGCTAGATATTGAAAATCTAACTTAAATGAAATATGAAGCACTTGAAACATAAAGTCGTTTGGAAAAGTTCTCTAAGATGTATTGCAAGAGGAGAAAATCATCTGGGTTTAAAGTTTGTTTTCTTAAATATTTATTTGAGCACAAAATCATATATTTGAATATTTATTTTATTTATCTAACCCTTATTTTGTTTTACTTCAGAATCAAATGCATGTAAGATCTGTAGAGAATAATCTTGCACTCAACATTTGTTCTTCCTCAAGATTCTATAATTCGAAGATCTAAAATCTAGATCTTCAGGGAATTTGATTTTTACCTAGATCCCTATGAATTTGATTTTTATTTTAATATTATGGGTAAACAATCTCATATTCTAGGTAAATAATGTAATTTTTTTTTTAAATAAATAAATAATCTTACCCCTCGGATTTCAAGATAAATCGAGATGAAAAATACGCTAGTTTTGAAAATAATAAAAGTGCTAGCGATGAGATTCGAATCCATGTGCATTTAACTTTACATCTTGGTTTTAATACCATCGAGGTGATAAGTGGAGAGTTTTCATGTCGCCCTTCGTTACCTCACTTCTATAGCCAAGGTATTATGCATTTCGCATCTGAGGTAAAAAGCGTTTTTCGTAGTAGTGGCAGCAGTGTGGGATGGACCTGCATGGTTAGCAGTCCAACACCAAGTCATTTCAAGATTTAAGATGAGTGTAGTGAAAATTAGAGATTGGATATCGTACCTTACTCATAGCGTGTGAACTATTTTTTTTATACCTTGGGTCAAATGAAATAGATTTGAGATTGATTGGGTCTTGGTCATTTAGGCCTTTGGCTGGTTTAGAACAACTGCCCCCAAGACTTTGTCGGGCATTGAAGGAACTAGGGAAATCCTTAAATGTTAGTCGACATCTAAAACATGATTCAATGTGAAATGCAACTGATACACTTGGAATCAATTGAAAAGTAGTGGGGACAAGCTATGAACACTTTGATACCTTTTCCCAACATGTCTACTCAGTGAACAAGCTAGATAATGATATCATATCTAGATTACTTGAATACTTTTGTCACTTCATTTTGCGTGGGGGAGCGGTGTGACGACTACCTTTGGATTTGGTATATTACCTTTGATTTGGGCTGTCAATGCTTAATTAATTTTCTATAAAAAAAATGATTTTTCCCTAAGTTTTTGTATTGCTCTCTTGTTGTTCCTCGGTAATTTCTTACTTTGGATAATTAATCATCGTCTTCTTTGCTTCAGCTTTAAGATCCCAACGTGGTTCTCTTTTCTCTTTATCCAGGTATGTTATTTCTTCTTTTTTCTAATGAACGAGGTTCTTTTCTTTTTATTTTATTTTTAATAGTCAATCCTCCATTGTAGACTTGTCGCCATTAACTTTTTGAATTCGTTCATAATGGAGAAGTAAAATGCGATTGATATGACGACATCCACCATTGAAGATTAATCTTGGGTGGATCCACTGTATTTGAGAGTATCATCAAATTATACTCAGAAGGATGATGAAATAGATATTCCCTTTAAAGTGGGGTCCCATTTAGATTGGAAAGTTTTGGAATCCCTATAGACAAGAAGGTGTTTCATAAATTTAAAGGATGCTCTATCCTTTTTTTTCCTACATAAATTAATTATATTTTTTATTAACCACTCATATAATTTGCATATTGATTTCATTAAAATTATAAAATACTACTTCATGATACAT